CGCCTCACATATGCTAAAAAAAGATACAGGTTAGCAATGCCAATGATTCACCCATTATAAAAGAATTTAATAACTGTTTTAAAAACTTCCGGACTATTTTGTCATATGAGTTTCAGGATAAACTCATAAATAAAGTTTGGAAAGCCCGAAATAATCATGTTGGAATCAACCTCCGTGCAGTGGGACGTCTAAGTAGTACTTTGGGTGCATACTTCTTCTGTTTCTTAAGCTTATATTTTTCCTGCAATTGTGGGGATAAGTAAATAATTAATGTATGTCCCTCTCCGACTCTCATATCTGTATATAAGATCAAGCATGAAGAACAAATCCCACTTGTGAAAACTGAGTCTTCTTCTCAAAAGTTGTGCTGTTTGCAATGAGAGCTTTTACTATTTCGTCCCCAGTTGCACCCTGTCTGCATCAAAGCAGTGATTAGCTCCGATCTGATTAAAATCTGGAAAGAGATAGTACTTTCTCTATCCAATAAAGAACTGTCTACATTCTTTTTCATCCGTCTGATTTCCTCTTAACGAAAGAATTACTCCCCCCCCCCATCCCACTATTTTTGGGACATGTGTTAGTGCCGCTCATTTGGAATTGTGAGGTTGAGATTGATGCTAAAAGGTAAGAAAAAGTAATAAATGAATGCAAGGCACGCATGTATTACTGAATATGGTATATGAAAAAAACAACGGGACTGAAAAAAGGTAAAATGGGACCAAAATAGTAAGATGCATGGAGTATGTTGTTATTTTTTCTTTCCATCCTACATAAATCTCTACCACACCGCTTCGTTTCTTAATAAGCATGTAGCATGCCAAAAACAAATGAGAAGCTAACTTGTATATGTGAGGTGTATAAGTTCAGCAATCTGGAAGATCAAGTTATTAAATTCTATTGCAGAACGGTAACATGTTGAGTTATAGCAAACGCAGGAGATAGATCCACATTCCACACCATGAAAAAATAAAAGCTTCTGAAGTTTAAATTTGTCAAAGCTAGAATTATTATACCGCTGGGAAAATACAGTTACATAATGCAGTAAAAGAGATTATGCAAATATAAATGCTAGGCATACGGGAATCGGGATCATGATATCTTTGCTAGTGAATCGCATGCTTGATGTAAAATGTATTTATAATAAATTTAAAGATCCAGACAAATCTTATTTCAACACTGAATAATTATGAATATCATGTGAGAAATAATCTCAAATTCAAACCTTCGCATTTCGTGTATATCTTCACCAGTAAGACTTTGAGCTGTGTTATTATCAACTAGTGCTCGATTGTCCTTTGAGCTGTCTGTATCATGAAAACCACCATTTTCTGCTTCGATATTATTCCCTGATCGTTATACAGTGTGAATAACGCATAATTAGAGCAATATAATATCAATAATAATAATCATTATAGTAATAAAGAATAATAAAAAAACAATAAAGGGTAAAAAATTAAAATTGAAAACGGATACCTTCAATGGTATGAGAGACCCTAGACAAGATTGGCCCTCCTTCTCCGCTCTCCACTTGAAACAGAGACCCGTAGGGACAGCCTATCAGAGGCTGAAGGGAGTAATTCTTATCCCCTATCTTCAAATTCCTGCAAAATTCTTTCAAATTTCCATCTTAACAACAATCCACGGAGAAAACATATAGCTACACGGCTCAGATATGTTCACAAAAAACACACAAACAAAAACAAATTATTTCCAGGAACTCAAAGCTCAATGTAAAAATTGCGGTTCTTATGAAGAACTTACGCGGCAGGAGTGAGGCGAGCGAAAACCAAACGGTCTCCATCGTTGATATCAAGCAATACACTGCATCCTTCCGATGTGACTCTGGGATTGAGGTTTTGGCTATGGTTTGATTGTTCAGGAATTGCTTCAATGTTGTTATCCATATTGTCCGGATGATTGAAACTATACTTTCCTTCTTCTTCTTCTTCTTCTTCTTTTATAAGGTTAGAAATAAAGGGAGCGAAGGAAGACTGTAGAGAGGGATATACTGTAAATAAGGAGGAAGAAGGGCGGAGCGGGAGGGATGATGATATATCACAATGTGGACTTGAGTCCAATTGCAGAGTCTTGGGCTGGGGTCCATATCTCTACCGGCCCAATATCATTAAAAAAGATAACTAATCAATACCATGTATCTTTTTCTTATCTCGAATTAAATTTTCATTTTAATTCTACATATTTTAAAGTTCATCGAAACATAGTAAATTTTACTATATCCGGATTCAACCCGACTCCAAACATGACCACTTGAACCCGGCCCAAATAATAATATTGGGAGTTGGTCTAATATGTCCCACCTATTCTTTTACTACAGTAATTATTTGTATTTAGGACCAAGATGCTTACCTCATTTTATCAACCTAAAAAAAAGCCATCGTCGCACTAAATTGACTAGAAGTGAGGCGAAAGCCTACATCATAGGCATGAACAAAGTGCTTGTCTCGGCCGATTTTGGTTTTGGGACGACTCTCGGCTCCCAACATCGCAAAGGGTGGCAATAGCATCATCATCAGTGGTCGGTGGTACACTATCAGACCGGTTTTTGAGTGGTTTTCAATCAAGTACCGGTTACCGGTTATTTTTTTAATTTAATTTACTTTAACATTGCAAATTTTTTGTTTTGAAAAATAAAACAAAATGTGAATTAAAGTATTCAAATCATTAAAAATTTTAATTTAGTAAATTATTCAAGAAAATACTTTAATATTTTACAAATTACAACTTATCAAACGAAGTAGGAAAAAAATTAAATTTAATTGCAAATTTAGTTATTTGTATATTAGATTGTTCTTCTGAAAACAATGATTATCCCTTCGTTTTTTAAAGAAATAATAACAAATAAGTAAAAATTTATTCCAACCATGATTGTATTCTATTTTTACCAAATATGTTAAACATAACAGCAACAACAAAAACAATAGGAATAATAATAATAATAATAATAATAATAATAATAATAATAATAATATGTAACAAGTGAAAATGATGAAGTTGCATCATTAAACACTTTCAACACATATGCAAATTTTTCATATGTAGATTTCATTTTGACATATGTTGGAATCTAATAGGAGTGTCATACATACCTGAATATTTGATCAGTTTTGATTTTTTGTTGTTAAAATTGACAAATTTTGATCACTAAGTGAACAAAATTGATACATCCTCTATCCTATTTTAAATTATCTGTTAATGTTTACGATGTTTGACTGGAGTTAATCCTGAAGTTCCGATAGCTCCGTATATCGTCGACCATCCACCATCATTGGTTGTTTGTGGTGTTGTAGGCTACCCGCCGCCTTGTCGCTTGTGGCCAGTGACTACTCCGTCTATCATTATTAATCATATCAATTTTCAAATATATGTAAATAAATTTTATTTTCGATTTTAAAATTTATATAATTTCTTTCATATTTGAGATCATATAATGTTTAGTTCATTTAGTTAACTCTTAATAATTATTATCACCATGACTCTTCTAACATTGATGTTCAATGTCGTATTATTAACCTCAGATGGTGTTTATTGACATTGAGAGGGCAAGCGACAGGATGTCGGGGAAAGTTTTGTGAAGGTTCATTGAGTCAAGAAGGGTTCTGATAGCATATATTCATGCAGTCGAAGATGTGTACAACGAGTAAGAACTAAGATAAAGACTGTTACAGGTGACTTAAAACCTTCAGCCTTAGATGTGGGGTTACACAAGGGGTTCACCCTTAGCCCATTCTTGTTCGTCTTGGTGATGGATGTCTGGACACAAGGAATCCAAGGGGAGGTCCTCTAGTGCATATTTTTTTGCCCACAATATTATGCTTATAAACAAGGGGGACTAAATAATAAATCGGAACTTTGGCATCTTCCCATGAAACCAAAAAGTTTTAGACTAAGTAGGATTAAGTTTGAATGCATGAAATGTTATTTTAGTAGTCTGGAGACACTATCAAGGGTGGAAGTTTGGATTAATTCTCACCAAGTGCGTATGATAGACAAGTTTCAATGTCTGACTCGATCTTTCAAGTGAGTGGGGAGTTGGACGAGGATGTTGCAATCAAGTTGGAGCGACTTGGATTAAATGAAGGTTGGCTTATAGGGTATTGCGCAATAAGAAGGTTTTGGCTAGGATGAAAGGTAAGTTCTACTGTCCCGACATGTTGTACAGTGTTTACTATTGGGCAGTTAAGAAAATCCACGTTCGTCGAGTGCATGTTGCAGAGATACGGATTTTGCGTTGGATGAGTGGATACACGAGGATGGATAGGATTCGGAATGAGATTATCCAAGAACGGGTGGGCGTGGCACATGTGAAAGATAAGCTGCAGAAAACGAGGCTAAAGTTGTTTGGGCATGCGAGTCGTCAAAACATTAATACCCTGGTGTGGAGATGCGAGAGACTTAGATTGGAGGGTGTGAGTAGGAATAAGGGTAGACCTAAGAAGTATTGGGAGGAGGTGACTACACATGATTTGAGATTTTTCGCCTTTCTTGCTGATTTGACATTATAATACGAGCGTTTGGAAATTATGATAGTTGGGTAGAGGCTTTAGGTGATGGAGTGATGGTTTATGCACTTGTTGTTGTAATGTGCTCGTATATTGTTTATTCTACTTGAGTTATGAGGTCTTTTAAAACGACCTTTATACTTTCAAGTAGGAGTAAAGTTTACATACACACATCATTCCTAAATCATACACTTGTCGATCCAACTGTTGTATATTATAACATCGGATACCTATGATACTCAATACGAGGAATACATAGTTTTGAACATTTTAAACATTTTAAACTTTTGTTCTTTTCCTAAAAAAAGAAAAGTCATGTCCCCTATCAACACATCCAAATCATGGTCAACACAAAAATTCATTTTGCCAACAAACTCTAGAGGTACAATTAGACTGGATGGAGCAGAGAATTTAGGGGGGCAAGGACTACTTTGGGATTGAATTGAGTAGTACAAGTCCCTCCTGGACAATAACAACACTATCTGAATTCTGAAATTGGACGCCTCTTCATCCTCTCTTTAATTTGCAACATTGTTATTCTTTCATATCATTTCCGCCCTTTTTTTGGTTCGTTTCTATCTCGTCTCGTTAGATACTCCGTATTTCTCCATCTATCGATCATCAATTCATCATCTTCATAATTAATATTCTTTTTTCGGAAAATTTCTAATTGAGAGTTGAGCTGAATTCGAGTTCAGGTTCAGACCTGCTAATTACGGATTATCATTCATTGTTTCCGATCGCGGCGGCGGCATAAACCTTTTCGGGCTTGTTTGGTTGCACAGAGGCGGTTCCGCCGGTCCTATATATGTACAACTGTAATTCAGGGCCAGGATTGGGAATTGGAAGACCTAGGATTTCATCGGAATAGGCATGGCTGCTGCGACTGAAAGACATGCCATCGGGAGACCCACAAATCCGATGGTTACTCCTCTCTTAACGGACCTCTACCAGTTTACCATGGCCTATGCTTACTGGAAAGCTGGTAAACACACTGAGCGAGCCGTGTAAGCCCCCCCACCCCATTATCTCTTCTGTTTTTTTTTAAGTATTATGTTTGCATGTGATTTCATTTGCCTTGTTTGTGTGTTTAATGTTGTGCTTGATGCAATAACGACATTATTATGGAAGCAGAATGTTTTTATCGCAAGAATTTGTTTTGATCTAATGATTACGATGTTGTTAAGTGTATTTTTAAATTCAACACTTTCAGGAAGATTACTGCCTTTTATTTATAGATTTGAAATAATGAGATTCCAATTGCAGGCATGTTCATACATTTGTGGTTGCAACAGTATATTTGTCTTTGATCATTGATTCAATCGTTCAATCCGTCTGCCATTAGTTCTGCACACATTTTGTTTTTCTTACTCTGTGTATAAAATATGTAGAAATGTTTTTGTTCTGTTTTACTCTTCGTCATGTGGTCCTAATCTCCGAATACCAATATTTTGCAGCTTTGACTTGTATTTCCGGAAGAATCCATTTGGGGGAGAATACACAATTTTTGCAGGGTTGGAAGAGTGCATAAAGCTTATTGCTAATTTTAAACTTACAGAGGACGAGATTGCCTTTCTCAGAGAGTCATTGCCTGCAACGTGTGAGGTAACTCACCACAGACACCATTATCTTGTAAGAATGTTTCATGTGCATTCAGGGTAAGATTAAAACAGATCTAGACAGGCATACCTAAACTAGATGAGTTGAGAAGGGTAGCTAGGTTGGTTAGGCATTTGCGAATGCACATCGAATTTGCTTATGCTTAGCACACAATTTCTTATAACTTATAAACGTCTCTGGCGGATTCTAGGATGGGTTCTTTGAGTACCTACGGAACATTGACTGTTCAGATGTTGAAATATATGCCATATCTGAAGGATCAGTCGTCTTCCCTAAGGTGCCACTAATGAGGATTGAAGGACCAGTTGCTGTGAGTATCTCTTTAAATTACATTTCTCATTGTTTATTGTCAGGTTTTGTTCTTGTTATAATGTCTTTCTTATCTTCTCTAGGCGGTTCAACTGTTGGAAACGCCATTTGTAAATCTCATAAATTATGCATCCTTAGTTACCACCAATGCTGCAAGGCATCGCTTTGTTGCTGGGAAGGGTAAATTACTTCTTGAATTCGGACTCCGACGAGCGCAGGTTACTTATTTTAAATAACTTATTTTCAATGTTTGGAGTAGTTAATAGTTCATTGCTGAACTTCAGTTTGTTTTTCGTATAATAGGGCCCTGATGGTGGTATAGGGGCATCAAAGTATTGCTACATGGGAGGATTTGATGCAACTAGGTAAATCCCATTAGATATTTGTGGGGATATATATATATACACACACACACACACACACACATATATATACACACACATACATATATATATATATATACATACATATATATATATACATACATGCATACATACATACACACACACACACACACACACACACACACACATATATATATATAGATTTTGGTTCTGGTGAGAATGCGATCTTAGGAGAGAAATGAGAATGAATCTTGTGCTTTAGATTGTGTGATCTAAGGGTCAGGATTGCATCAAAATTAGATGCAACAAAATGGTTTGAAAATGCATCACGTCGAAATGCATCATAATCCTTTGAAAATGCACTATCTCAAAATCTGAGCGCATGATGCAATCTGAGCCGCACAATGCATCAGATCTAACGGCTAGATTTCATTCTCATTTCTCTCCACAAGGTGCATTCTCACAGGAACCAGCCCCTATATATATATATATATATATATACATATATATATAAAGTTAATATCATGGATCCTATTGTATTTTCCCTGGATTCTTAGACTACTTAATCTACTCTATAGATTTTCAGCAATAATTCTCTTCAATATTAAGCAGCATCAAATTTGTTCAGTTCGTCTAACCAGTTGTGCCTCTTCCTATAATCAATTGTAGCAAATCATTCTTTTGAAATTTATTTGGAATCTTTTTAATAATTTGACATAGAGTGGTATATTTTTAGCTGAAATCATATTTTGGGTTCATATTTGGACTTTAGATGTGCCAATAAGTGCATAATACTCTCATTTGGAACTATGCTACAGTAATGTTGCTGCTGGAAAGATATTTGGGATTCCGCTTCGTGGGACACATTCCCATGCCTTTGTTAGCTCATTCATGGTATGTGCAATCCCAAAAAAATTAATGCTAGAAGTTTGTTTCTAAGTATTGGTTAGAAACCCTATTACTATAAGAACACCTTTATTTTCAAATGGTTTAGTGCTTAAAAATGAATTTTAATGGACAAATTGGAGGGAAGCTTAATGTGCCATTTTGGTTTTGTCCATTATTTAACCGAAGCCAAAACACTCTTAGGGGATTATACTGGGGTTTTTGTTGTTTTCAGTGTTGCATATTAACCTGTAAGCACTAAAGATAAGCCACACATCTGTTATTGAACACACACCATTTTTAATATTGTGAAAAATTTATTATGATGTTCAAATATGATTGGTCACTTCTCTACCCGTAAGGACATACTATAGTTTCTTACGTGGCCAAGTGATTGCAGAGCCCAGACGAGATTGTCGAGAAATCCCTTCATAGGAGTGATGGTTCTAGCGTCTGTGATGACTTTGTTAGTCTGGTGCAAGCATGGTTGATTAAATTGAAGGTGCCTAGCAATCACAAACTGCCTGATGTTTTTTAACTATTAGATTGGCTGATGCATACCTAATTTGTTATTTGTTCTTCAATTGTTCTTCATTTCCAGTGTTTCTTTAGCCGCATAGGAGTAATATACGGAGTATACATACATACATACACACACACACACACACACACACATATATATATATATGTAATAATGATTGATAAGAGCCATGCTATTTTTCTCTGCTTCAGTTTCCCACGCATGCCCAATTGCCCACTAATTTCTAAAGTGTAGTGATTTCTATGTGTTATAGTGTTATATGCATAATCTTTTTTTCTTGCCTTATCATATTTGTTTATGGGCTGTCAGTTCTGATGCCGCACATGGTTGAAATAATCAGTGTCCGTTATAAATTACAAAACCAGTGTTCCATTCTGTATACAATAATTAAGTTTCGAGAGCTCTAAAATTTTGAAAAATAAGTTTTGTTTTGAAATCTCCAGGCACAATATACACTTTTCTCCCTAATCAGGCCTTCATATATACCTTTATCGTCCTTGTAAATTGTAATTATACTACTATGAGCCATTTTCACTCATAGGATTAATTACTGTGTATCATTGTCGAAACCAGACTAAACGAAGAGTGAAAGAACCGAGCTCCTGATGTGGAGTACTGAATGCTGTGCTTAGTTCAGTTCACTCTGCATTTGGTCTGGTTCGACCGGTGGTACCACCTTGCCCTGGGAATGAACTCCATTAACAACTCTTACTATTTACTCTGTTAACCATGACCGATGGAATATGTTTTAAGTATGAACCATGCTTCATCATCACAGAGTTTCTCCTCGAAGATTTGCAGTTAGTCTTTATTTCTACACTCCATATGGAAAACGATTCTGTCTACTTCAATTAGGCATTAGCTTAACATTGTAATACACACTCACATGACAAATACTAGTGGAACTTAAAAGTAGGCAAATCTCTCATTAACCTTGTTATGAGCATGAAATGATAAATTTTCATCTTGAATCTAATTTTATGTCCTGCACTTGTAAAAATCGTCCACGAAATATGAAAGAGTTTTAATATTCTAACTTTCCTCTTTGAGTTTCATGGCTTTTCTGTATTTGATAGAGATTTTTTTCCCTGCTCCAAAGCTGCAAATCGTAATAAAAAGTTGTTGGGTGCTTATCATCTACTTCATGTAAGATTTGGGGTACTGCAAGTTATGCCAATGCAAGAAATGATAAGAAAAACTAAAAAAGTTTAGTGAGTTGAATAAGTGTGTTAACGTCAGTAACTTTATGGATACATCCACTGAAGAAAGTGAAAAGTGGAAGAAGAATAAAACAAAGGGCGAAGAAACTGCTGTTATGGTAAAATTGAACAGATTGATCCTGGAGGAACAGATATACAGCTGCTGCTGAGGGAGGAGATAAACAGAGACTTCTGCTGTGGGAAAACATAACAGATGGTTCAATCTGCATTTACTTTTAGCATTGGCATTACTTGTATGACTCCAAATCACTTCATAGGAGTGATGACTCTAGGTGTGTGATGGCTTTGTTAGTTTGATGCAAGCATGCTTGAATATAATGAAGGTGCCTACTGCCTAGCAATTACACAAAGCTCCTGATTTTTTGCATTAGTTTGCCTGATGTAATGCCTTTTTTTTTCATTTTTGCTTCAAATGCTCTCCATTTTCAGTGTTTTCTTTATCATACACTGATAAGGATTGATAAGAATGATGCCATTTTTTTGTGATTCTGCTCCCCATGCATGCCAAACAATTTTCAATCATGACTTTGAATTAAACTTTCTTTAAAGTATAGACACACATGCACCATTTATTTGACCCGTCTACTTGATTTCAGTGGTCAAACTTACTGGGTGGAACCTTTGGTGAGACAAATCAGAGTGAGTTAGCAGCATTCACATCGTATGCACTTGCATTTCCTGGCTGTTTTTTGGCCCTTGTGGACACGTATGATGTAAGTATTATTTGTCCTGCTTTGTTCTCCAATACATTGCATCTAAGCTGATTAATTCAGCAAAATGTTATTATCCATCTCCTCCCCCTGAAGA